TAAGGAGAGACAGGTCCTTAGAGAGGGACATCATGATTGGTAGGGTAGAGGGACAGTGTAGGAGGGGAAGACCCTCTATGAGGTGGATTGACTCAGTGACTGGGGTAATCGGGATGGGTGTGTCAGAGGCAATGCGATTGGCACAGGATAGAGCAGGGTTTAGGGCTGCTGTACATAGGGCTGTTGTACATAGGGTTCTACATAGGGTACATAATTTGTTATAACAAATTATGGCTATCATTGAAAAAAATGAGACTCCTAGGCCACTTAATTGTGTTCATGTTAAATCTATACGTAGGTTGAGAAACAGTTACCCAAACAGACCAAGGGAACACTGTACTGTTAAAAATCAGGAAAGATGTGCATCAGGGTTGAATTATTTCTTCATGCCTACCTAGTTTATATGCTGAGCAAATAATTTGAGAAACTAGACTTTGTGAAGAAGAAAGTGGGATCAGAATCAGGAAGATTCATCAATAAACTGTGTTAGGCAAATGTTACAGCTTTGCTTGCTGAAAACGAGGACTTGAGGTATGTACGGCAGAAGATCAAAGACTACAACTTTTAATATGGATTATATATCAACATTAAGAAGACAAAAATGCCCCCACTGAACCTATAGACAATATGACAATATGACAGAGAAAAGACTGAAGTTGTCAACAATTTTATTTTACTTAAATTCAAAATTAACATCACTGTAATAGAAGTCAAGAAATCAAAAGGCATGGTGCATTGGGAAAATCTTCAAAGATCTTTCCAAAATACTAAAAAGCAATGATGTTAAAACTAAAATAGACCTGATCCAATTCATAGTATTTTTAATTGCTTCCTAGGTATCTGAAAGTTGGATAATTAATAAATGACAGAAGAACAAAAAACACAAAACATTCTGTCTTCAAGGAAGTGCAAGCAGGTTGTTACCTAGAGGCAAGGACAGTGAAACTTCATTTCACATACTTTGGGTATGTTCTCAGAGGGGTCAGTCCTTGGAAAAAATATGCTGAGAGAGGTACAAGGTCATAGGAAAATAAGACTCTCAAGGACATGGATTAACAGAGTGATTGTAACAATGGTCTAAAACATGGCAGAGATTGTGAGGATGACACAGGATAAAGCACGGTTTACTTCTGTTGTTTGTAGCGTCTCTATGAGTCATAGTCAACTCAATGGCACCTAACAATAACAAAAAACCCATTTTTATAAACTCAAAAATTTTGATGTTTTTAAGGGCAATTAACTATTTATGTTTAGCCTTTTTTAATCTATTTCCAGTTAAAATTTTAGTTTGTTTTCAATATGCAGTAGCTTCTAATATTAAAGGAAAACTGACTAATTAAAATGTAATTAACCAGCAAGATACGAAGTCCTGTGGGATATAAAAATGAAATTTAATATATAGTTTTGCATCAAGTTATAACAGAAAAATTCAGTATAATGAAATTTTAAGACATTCTGTGTATTATTTTAATAGTTACATAACTATACTGTTCTCTGATGGAAAATCTCCACAATTTCTGTACATTCTGAGACAGCCAAAGATTAAACTATGTACTAAAAACTGCTGCTGCTGCTCAATTTACTAAACAAGAAGTTACTTCAGACTGTAGGATTAGAATCAGTCTCACACATATACAACAATTATTTGTAGATCAAAATAAAATTGAGTGTTCCGTACAGTCTTCTGACTAGATCACCACGCCATACTTCAAAGTCACCATTGGGTTGTTTTTTTGTTTTTGTTTTTAATTTAGGTTGTTTATTTTTCATTTCAATGAACATCTACAGAGATTTTGGGATTCCATTCATTCATTGTTGCAC